CCTACATGCGTCCCTACAATATGCCCAAAACCGTTTTAAAAAAGCGCACCTTGCCCTGAAACACCTCCCTTGTGAGGCCGCAGGGGTAGAAGATTCTTGCGAAGTTCTAGAGTTTAAGGGGCGGAACAAGTTGATTCCGTTTCAAATGGGAGGATGAGTAACTCGTCTTTTAATGTTCCCACCCTCCACCCCCTTAAATATTCTGGGTGAAGCAAACATAAGACAGGGCCATGTTCGCTGATGTCGTTATGGTTACCTTGCAGCGTCATAAAAAGATGAGGAAATCAATCATTTTCTATTGCAAAATCGGGAATGTGGCCAACAGTCAGCTTTAAGGCGATCTCAAATATCGAATAGTGCAGCGATTCAGACTAGAGAAAAAACTCAAGAAATTGCGCTATTTTCGCCGTTATGACTTATAGCCACAATTCCAGAAAAGATCTATAATTTCGGCGGAACACTTCTATATGCAATGACGCGCGGACATTAATAATGACTGTTGATGGCACAACTTTCAGCAACTTGGGTTGGAGGAGCATATATCAATGGCACAGCCGAAGCGCTCTACAACGGGGGCCTGCTGGGTTGCCAAGCGCCGATCGGCTACGCTCTTTCTCTGGTTATGGGCGGTTTGTTATTCGCAAAGAAGATGCGAGAAGAGGGCTACGTTACGATGCTCGATCCCTTTCAAGTACGTAAACACTATCAGCCATTGAAGCATATATTTTATACAGCTCAGAAACTAATAAAAAGATTACAGATTAAATATGGTCAGCGTGTGGGAGGACTTATGTTCCTGCCGGCTCTACTTGGTGAGGTGTTCTGGAGTGCAGCGATTCTGTCGGCTCTAGGTGAGTTCCCAGCCTGTTTGGCTCTCAGCCAAGTGGCCTGCGTGCTGATGGGGGTCCCAAAACACATCGGCTAGATCGACATGTAGACATTCCCCATTCGACTACTCAGTTCTGTAGGTAAGGACAGATTCGAGAAGAAAAAATCGAGCATCGGTCCTTTTTGAGATGCACCGCGAATCGGGTTGACGTGGACGCAAGCAGTTTAGTGGCAAGGGGTGCTGCTTCCCACGCGCGCGGCCTGAGGTCGTGCGCCGCCCGAGCCAACCAAGCCTTCCATCCCTCGGTTTGGTACCAGACTTGTCTGGGAGGATAAAAACACTGACTTGTACATCGGCTGGCCCCCGCAAGTCATTGTATAGGCCACATCGCATTCAAACGCCACTACGAATGTACAAATGGAAGTAGAATGCGTGCCGCATCCCAAAAAGGGATTGATCAACGGCAAATGCTTTATCCTTTATGCTTTTGCTTTACCGCGCTCTCCGGCATTCTATCCACCCTATCCACAATCTTAGTGACCCTTGAATAGGTAGGGAGTACAGCGAATTGCGGGTCTTGATCTCAGTTCAGCGTTTTTGTTATGCCGTGTAGGTCTGGTAAAAGTTAATTGATAACAGAGGCATGTGAACTTTGCTCAGCCCAAAGAACGGTGGATCGGGGATCATGCTGGAATCTTGTACATGCTGAGCGGTGCAACTTGCTAATCACCACTTCCTCGGGAAAGAAGAAATATGAACTTGTTACCAGTTTGGTTAGGCAAGAATAAGCTCGCAACATTCAGCACTCCTTTCGAATCCGCACAGCAATGAGGCTTGTGGTCCTGCTGTACATATAGAGAGCCTCAACCTTGCAGAACCGGACTGCTTGTTTCATTTTGTTTTTGGGGCTCTAACGAGCCAGATAGCACCATTTTGAGAACCACAATTCCCTAATTAACAGGTAAGCTTTGCAGAAGTGACGCCATTATTGGGTAGGCAGAAACTCACTAACGGCAAACGTGACGGTATCCTCCAGGGCTAGTGACGTGCAGAACTGACTGATTTCACTAGCATTTATTGATTAATGAACAGGCTGAATTTTCAATGAACTGATTGTGAAAAACAGATCCTTGCTACAGTATAGAGTCCAAAACCATTTAAGGAGCAACGCTGTCAGTAATTCTTCAAATCGATATGAATATATCTGTGGTGATTTCCGCATTGATCGCCATCTTCTACACTTTTACCGGAGGTCTCTACGCTGTTGCTTACACTGACGTCGTGCAGCTGTTCTGTATTTTTGTCGGTCTGGTACGTCACACTTCATCCAGTTTTGGTGGTAACAATTTTCGGATGAAATTGAGCGTCGTCTACCCTTTCTAGAATGGAATGTTTGAAATTTTGGCATTGAAAAGAGTTCCGCTTCCAGTGAATGAAGGATGACCACGGCCACTTCTGACCAATCGGACATGACCTTATAAAACCTTCAGAAAAACTGTCAGAAATGCGCTGTTTTCATACCTTATCTCTATAACTGGAAATGGAAACGATGAGACGAAAGTTCATTGAATTTTTCGGGTTTGGCTACTTCTTAATGTCGTCTATAATAGCAGTGGCATTTGAAACATGTTTGGCCTAACCATTGATGTGAAGGAGAGAGCGGGGGAGGGGAGGGAGTGGTTCAACTAAACATAATCCTGTTTCTCAATCGAAATTTTTTCAGATATCAGGACCTCGTGGCGCTTTCAAAATCGGTTTTCCTTCTGCCTTAAAAGCTGTCTGCTTGCTTTTCAATCACAGAACAGCCCCTGGAATTGATTCACGGCTTTTAAATCATTGCTATCACCTTACCATATATTCGCTAACGCTGCCCCTAAAAGTCTACAAATTTCTGAATAAACAATTTCAATTCCGACAAACGGTGCTATCGCAAGATACGGGAACATCCCCCAGGAATAATCCTTGAATAGGTTAGGAATTTGGGAAGACGAAAATTTCTCACATATCCTGAATTCGTTCCTCCTCCGCCTAAGGCGTTGTCCCGTTTTTGACAAAAAAGGGGATGTTATACGCGATTTCAAATGTGCTGCTACCACAATGCCCCTGTATCTTGCGATAGCGCCAAATGATTAGCAAAGTCCAGTTATTGTCTTTTTCACAGTGAGAGTGTTTCAGTGGGTTTGCGTTCCGGCTGCGTTGCTGTCGGAAGCGACAAGGGATATCAGTCGCAACGCTGGCGATTGGATAGGTGAAATCGGTGGATTCAAGGAGAAATGGTTGTGGATCGACCTGCATCTAGCTGTGATCTTCGGAGGAAATGTCCCATGGTCAGTATCACAGCTTTCTGAAAAATTCTCGAACTTTTCTGCAGTTATATCAGAAAATGATAGGAATCTGAGAGAATAATAAATAACAATAGTACACTAAAAAACATTATAGTAGTTATTGTGTTTTTGTGCTCCCACGAGGTTTTTAGGTGGAATCTTTATTTCGGCCAACGTTTCGACCTTCACGTCGTTTTCAAAGGCCTAAACATGGCTCAAGACTTAAGAATCGTTCGCTACCCCCAAACGCCTCCTATTCTCTAGGCGTTCTGAACCAATACTCACACGCAAACTACGATCGACGCAACCGCAGCTTCGGAGCTCCTCACATACTATCACGTCATCAACCACCACACCACTACATCAGACAGCCTAGCGACACACCGCAACGATGCATCCTCCCCAAAGGGAGAAAAATACCATAGTTGTCATCGGAACTTCCGTGAACCGATGCAGTGCTCAAACGGAAACACAAACACTTTTTTGGCGTTCTTTCTCAGGGAATCCTTCCCGGAAAAGTCTTGCATTCTCTCCTAACACGCATATGTCAGTTGTGATCGCTCAGCAGAAATCGGAACAGCACACAAAATTTCACGCATGAAGATTCGGTTTCTGAAGAGAGAACAAACTACAAAACTACATGTAATGGACAATCGAAGGAAAAGGCGCGAAGCAAAGGCGGGGCATAGAAAGCAGTTGGCCTTTGGCCGGCTACGTACATATCAGACGACAGCGGTGAAAGAGTCGGATTAAAGCTGCGATTTGGAGAGTAGAGAATTGAGCATAATATTGCAACATCAAAGGAAAACCAAATGTCTGTATAGAGAAAGGACCAGTAGTCCTGAGAGGAAGGTGAGCAGTCCCAAATGGGCAAAATGCTAAAGAAATTCACCCCCCCCCTCCAAGGACAATTTTGGTCTTTTCCACTAATGGTTCTTAAGTCCTTTAGTCACGAAGAAGACTCGTACGCGCTGCAGCACTTTTTTACATTAAGCCAAGTCAATAGAGAAGAGCGCCCTAGTTTCACTTGGAAGCGCTATGGTAAGGGATACAGAGACGTCAGCGGTTCTGACAGCTCCTGCATGACTTTTGAGCATTCTACAACTTTTAATTCACCTTGAGGTGTCCCTAAAAATTCCACGCACCGCTAATGGTAAATCACAAGCCTTTCCTTCAAGACAGGGTCCAAGACTGATCCTTGCCATAGTGTCCCTAGAGTGAGCAATAGGGGTTCCAAAGTGCAAGAGGGCGCGATGTTGTTGCGAATCAAAGCCGCGAAGCAAAGACTCTGAAAGGCCTCGCCTTGTGTGCTTTCGTGCTGCCATCTTTACCAGGCTCCGTTGCCGGAGTGGAGCGCTTCTTCAACCACGGTTTGTTGGCATGTTATAAGGGTAGGTTGAGAGGGAGCACAAGATACTCCATTTTCTGAAACGGCCCTTAGATGTCATAAACGGCGGTGATGAAGTGTCATTGGTTCCGGACCCCTCTCGTGGGCAAATTTTTGCAATTTTTGTTTTGGCGTTCAAAATTGCGAAAAATGGCGTCAGCCGTGGAACAAGGGTTGTCATAAATATCCTATAATAGGACCACCAGCAACCTTTATACGTAGTCTTTAACTGTTGAAGAATGCTGCGACACCAAAACGTCGCTAGTGTGCGCACAGTGGTGTCATAATGACGTCAGATGACGCATGCACCAAAAACAATTAACATATTGTCAATCAGGACACTGAAAAACCCCCTAAAGCCGGAGTTTCAAGTGAAATTTTATTTCGACCAAAACTCCGAAAAGGTTTAGTCCATGGGGGATAAGTAGCTCGCTAGGTGCAAAGGTAGATGGTCTGGAGGCGATCTCCCGTCATCCTTCGTCACCGTTTTAAAGGAAAGCGCTCCACGTCCTGAACGACCTCCTTGCAATCGCGTCTCTAGCGCACGACGTATTTGCTCGCAATTTGTCGCTCTCCGTGCGCAGCGCTGTGGTCGTCTTCCGTTTTATGGCTCTCCAGTCAGGCCTCACAAGGGATTAAGAGCGTGTTTTCTGTGGACTTTGGTCTTATTCATTTCTTACTATTGGTTTCGCGTAGCACTTCATGGTGATTTTTCAACAAAATAACACACCGACTCGATTCCTACCAGTGTCTTTGAGCTTATAGTCGTGATGCTTTTCGTTAGCTATCAATTGCTTTTCATTATTTTTGGTCGTATTTTATCTTCTGTTCGATTTTAATTCCTAATTCGATGTTATGTTTTCGCAATGAAGTTATTATTATTCATAAAGCGAATTACGGGTGATTAAGATTGATTGTGTTCCATGTTGTTTTTTATGGTCTCTTTCCTTAACTGTGTGTCTGTCGGCACTGTACACATCTTTCGGAGCTGTTTCAAGTGCTTCTTCCTTCGTTGTGCTTGTATTTTGGTGTTGTTTCTCTGAGGCTCGTGTGCTATCTCTGCTACTTATTGGAGCTCTATTTAGTCGATACATGGTATATTCTTACATTTCTCTTTGATCAGGAGGCCTCTTTTTATTGTTATTCTACTATATTATATTTTTGGATTTCTACTAGTATGTATTATTATTCATATCTCCTTTACTTTGTGTAATCAGATAATAAATTAGATTTTTTTATTGATATATTTACTTGTGCTTACGTGTTTTTCTTTGTTAAAAATATCCCTTTCAGTATTTGTGCGTATGTACATAGTATTTCTACTATTGAACATTCTCTTATCCTAAATTGATTTATGCAATACCCGTATATTGTTATCTATAAATGAATCTATGTTCGTTTCTCTTTCTCTTATCCTTATTCTTCTATCTCTCCCTAAATGTGTGGTGCTATTTTCCATTTTAGTTATTTTTGGTGTTTTAATTTAAATATTTATGAATACTCAGATTTAATATATTGTTTGTCATAATCTTTCATTATATTTTGTCGCATATCGGTGTTCTCTATTCTTTCATGCTTCATTTATGTTTTTTTTTTCACTCTGCAATGGTACATTGGCATTAATGTTGATTCTTTTTGCATTCAGAAATATGGATCACGTTTAGTGGTTTGCATGTGCTTTATGGGCAATATCTGTATTAAGATGTAATTCGTGAAAGGACATCCATTTATTCCAAATGTAGTGAGGTTCGGTGCCCGATCTGGTATGTGGCTTGATTGGTGTCATGATTAGCAAGATGGAAGAAGAAGTCACTCAGGAAGTCTGATATTTGTATGCCGATAAATAGAACCCTTTCTTTTCTCCTGACATCAGCGGAAAAGTGGCGTTGCTGGTATGGCTTTGTCGGACGAATTTCGGATTGCCAACCTGGTTGCTTTTCGTCTCTTGCCTAGTTAGTTGATAGCCGGCAGTCACTCCCGATGTATTTCACTTGTCCCTATGCAGCATTCTTGATGCTTTCGGTCGGTCCATAAGCTAGCGTGGAGCGCGTAGTCTAATAACTTACTTCCTCGGAACTTAATTAGCCGCCCGCCCGGCGCGGCCCGTCCTTCGGCTTTTTTTCCGTGGTGTTTCGAATGCGGATCGCGCAGCTATGGTGTCATCTTTTGTGGGCACTGTTAACCAGTGTGACAGAGGTTATGGAAGGGTATTGGTTTATGTTGCCTGATGCCGACCTTTGCCTTTGATAGAAAGCTTCCAGGTGACTATGCTCGTCTCCAAATGAGCCGCAGATCTTAAAATTGCTCACAAGGTGTGTTTCTATTCCGCAATGAAAAAAACCTAAGGAAGCGTTCAGTGGGATATTTATTTTCCAGGGAGGTGTTCACAATATCGTTAGTACGTGATATCAGTGGTTGTAATTGAGTATTTAGTATATACCGAACAGGATAGCGGCGTGGAAAATTGTTATTATTGAAGGCGGGATCGATCTAGAAATTCGAAAAAAACAGCGAATCGCGGAATAGCTGGAAAGATAAGTTGTCAGAGTACGGAAGACCAACTGCAATCGTTCAGTTTCATATAAATAGTGTCGAGCTTCATTTACTGCTCATTATTTGATCCGTCTCTGTCTTCACAACCTAGTTTATTCTGTCCAAAATTCGCTGTGATTATTATTTATAACATAAGGAGAATTCGGATCAAATTTAGGACCAATGATTGAAGGGAGACTTGTTACGCAGAAAAGTTGTGGTAGCTAGTCCTGGTAACCCACTATACTGGTCGGGTGGACTGGTCTGCAGGTTGACAGGTTGTGTAATTTTATACACTGGTTTATTTAGAAGTGTCCACCGATCTTAGTTCCTTCAAACCTAGACAAGTAGCTCAAACTTAATACCTCATTCCTCATGTCAAAGTTCCAGCTTTCCTTTTACTGTTATTTCGCTTACTTGGCATTCGAGGATTCCTACCTTTAACTTTTCTTCCTACCTTACAGGTTCACCTGAAGTAATAAACAATTACAACATTTCCCATAGTGTGTGGCAGGGGTTTACATCACTCGCAATTCCCGCACCTCTGCACGCTTTGGAAACACCGCCGCTGATGCTTGCGTATAGCCTGCATCATTCCTATTTCGTCGTTTTATCGTCGAGATAATCTCACGCGTGGTATCATTTTCTTCATAGACTGCAGTGTCGCAAACCACTTGATTGTTTTTTTTATAATATTTGGAGCGTTTCTCCCGTTTCATTAGTTCAAAAAGTTTCCTTCCATGTGAAAGGAAACAACCAGAGTATCTGCTGGTTTTCGAGAAGTGTAAGATTTTTTTCATAAATTTGTTGTGAGCTATAGCTTCATTAACAATACTAGGAGGAGTGCTTCTTTGCGCATTGTTCGCAGTTCCACCACCACCATATATGTACATTCCTGATAGAAGGCTCTATGAATTTTTTTAGGACTCGGAGCGGTATCGGCGGCTGTGATGTCTTCCGCTGACTCCTCAGTGCTGTCAGCAGCCTCCATGTTTGCACACAACATCTGGAAATTGACCATCAGACCTCACGTGAGATTCTTTTCCTTCAAAATCCACCCGTTCCATTATTTTTCGAACAAGAAAAGGTGTGGATAAGTGAAGTCACATATGCACCTTTGATCAGTTTTGAATAACTCGACAAAACAATGCTTTCTAATGGTTTCTGCCCCACTACCATGCTTCGGTCATTCCGCTATCCCTTGAATTTTCGTCTTTGAGTAAATTCGAACTGAAATAGTAGTTCGCGCATCATTTTACCTATGATGGTACGTCTAATGGATTGATGATGGCACTCCATCCTTGATCCTCAGTAGACCACTGACTCGAGAAAAGGGGCTAAATTGTAATGCACCTTGAGGGAAAAAGTGGACTTTACCCTTTGCTCGACAGCTAAGTTCAAATCGCACTAACCTTCGACAAGACCTGTCATAAGCTACTGTAATGAGCGCTCGTCAAGCCAAGGGTTGGCTCAGCTCTCCACGGGCTCGCTAGCCTCGCCACTTACGACTAGACATTTCAGTTATGTATCAGCAAGTACAGTCGATCCTGTTACCAAAAGTGAAATTGGGCGGAAATGGTATAGCGGCTGGTAGTTTTGCTTACCGGCACTTTCCACGTAGCTGCTCAAGCAGTTTCCAACTGACTTCCTGCTTTATACGCCGTCAGCGCAACCAAGCCTTTTCATCCACACAATGACGTGTGGTTGTCCAAAACGTGTCTGTTGAGGACAAATAACTCATGTGGTGTTTTTATTAGTTGTTGCTACGATTTCAGGGCTAACCATAAGTCACATTCAAGTGCGCTACGATTCTGAATGGATATAGAGTACAGTCGCATTCCAGGAAGAGATGATCAACGCTGAATGTTTTACCCTTTCACACTAACTATAAGCGGTAAAATTCAGGCATCAGAACGCGAGGTGATTCTTGTGATGCGTTTCGCCATCATCGCAGTTGGTGTGATGGCTACCGTTATGGCGCTAACAATTCAGAGCATCTACGGTCTATGGTGAGCACTATTTTATTTCCTGAGCTAACCCATATCACAAGAAGCAATAGATCGTAGCTTCTGAGCAATAAGGAATTCTAAATCACAAGGTTATTTATTTTATTTATTCTCTTTCAAATAGAAAGCTATCAAACTAGTGTGGTATATGGAAACGTATCGTATATAGAAATGGTAATGTACGCGATAAAACTCCTCTTACCAGGAAGGTCTTTCAGGGCGTGCCAAGCTTTTTGAAAACGGTCTTTTGCATGATATAGGGGCAGATGCGGGAACCACAGAACCATGTTAATTTTTCCTGAACGGCCCTCTGAATACCAGAAAAGGGTCCCTAGTTCGATTCCTCGTGGTGACAAACTTTTGCATTTCGAGTTGACGTGGTTACTGACGGTCTAATTATGAAATTTGACATTCATTGTTCATGCTGTCTCCAATTTGCGCGAGTTTTGAACCGTCAACACTATCGAAATGTCAGAGTTTGTCGACCAACAAGTGAATTGATTGCACGGACAGCCTTTTTGGTATTCAGAAGGGCCGTTTGAAAATGATCACTCCCGTGTCCTGTGCTCGCGCATGTGCAATCGCATCATGCGAAAGACCGTTTTGAAAAAGCGCACCGCCCCTGAAAGACGTTCCCTGATTGAGTTGGTATCGTCTCTCTTCCTTACTTTCCTCTTCAATTTTTCAATTCGTACTAGCATCACAGGCTGTTTTTCTTCCCCTTCTCTACACGGAAGAATGGAATCGGCCACTTGAAAAAAAAAAAACTTCTTGAGAGCCGTGGAACGAGTCCTACTGTATGAACGCTACCGTACTTGATTTGTTAGACGCGTAAGTGCTGCGGTAGGTCTACTCAAATACTTGTAAATATGGCGCACAGTCATAATCTGGATTTCCTGATCCACACACAGTCGCTTGAGGTACTGCCATTTATCAACTGCTCCTCGAGCAGGATAAAGCTTCCGTTCGCATAAGGAAGATCGCATTTGCGATTTTATGAGGGGGAGTAGTCGTATTGGGATGTAGCAAAAAAGTGCGAACGCGACAGTTGACCTTTTTCTCAAGCGTCAAACTGCGCCTGCAAATTATTCTGTCAACGACGACCCTACAACAAACAGAGGAACTGTTGTGAAGTTAGGGTTCTTTGAAAAAACGTAGGTGAAGCTTAGTGCTAGCTCTGAATCCACTGAAGGGACGATTTCGAACTTCAGAAGGCCACTTGATGATACGTGGCTTCTCAACTAGTCCACGACAGGATGGCATGGACTGTTCTTGGCCCTTTTTCCAAAGGTTTTGAGTGGCAAGTGATGCTTATACTAACTGGGCCCAACTGGTGTGGCAGGGCGCTTTCATGATTCCCTACGAATTCCCTAAGTATGGCGTTTCGAGCTTTCTGGGTGCTTTCCTGCCTGTATAGTAATTGATCGGGGCCGCCGGACCTTTTGTTCACGTTAAACTCGTCATTGTAAGTATTAATCTATACTCTTATTCATGAGCACTCGAATGTCGGAGTATTTGTTATAATTTTAATTACTCTTCGTCGCTCACTCTTGATTTGGTTGATAGCTAATTTTCTTTCAATTTCAGGTATCTGTGTGCCGATCTCGTCTACGTCATCCTATTTCCACAATTACTTTGTGTTGTCTACGTGAAGAGTAGCAATACGTATGGATCACTGGCTGGCTACGGTGGTAATGATTTCAATCAGCTGTACCTTTTAGAACATTTTCCTCTGAATTCCCACATATTTTCCTTGAAATGATAATGAATGAACTGCCTTGTTCAAAAAACTGCAATTTTAGTCGGCCTAATTCTCCGATTATCCGGTGGAGAACCCCTTGTCGGCCTTCCGGCACTGGTCCACTATCCAATGTATACCGATGGAATTCAGTATTTCCCCTTCAAGACGATGGCAATGATGTCGTCATTAATCTGCATTCTTGGCGTAAGTGGCTTTACACAACAACCAGCATCTAGTAATTCTTCATAGGGTACTTGTACTGGCTACTGTATAGTATGCACCTATTATAACTTAATTATTCATAATTATGCATTGTGAATTATGTTCAGGTGTCGCGTCTTAGTGAGCACTTGTTCACGACGGGTCAGATATCACCGGAGTGGGATGTTCTGGGTTGTGTCGTTGTGCCATCAGAGAGAATTCCGCTCCCGTCGGACGTCTCGTTTAATGTTAGCAGCGATACTCTTGCGATGAACAAGGTGAGTTGCTTGAATAACGCACCTTATTTTCACCTTCAGAGTGCAACGAATACATTGTGTATATTAGTCCTTTCCATGATAACTGGTAATGAGAATAAGCCCACAATTTTATCGGATCAGCGAGCATAAGCGAAGGTTATACGCAATTGAAAGGGTCAAGAAAAACCCCTAAATGTCACGGGTTGGCATGGGTTGCTATCAAAAACGAGTTTGAACCGAGGACTGAGGAAATCTCAGATAATGGGACCTACTCCTCACTTTGTACATTTGATCACCTCTCGCATTGTTACGACGTTTGAAATCATGAATTTGGTACTAATTATTCATGCTAACTCCATTTTTTGGAAACGTCAACACGAAATGCAAAAATTTGTCACCACGAGGAATCGAACTAGGGACCCCTTTTCTGGTATTCAGAGAGCCGTTCAGGAAAAATGAACCATGCTTCTGTGGTCCCCATATGTGCCCCAATGTCATGCAAGAAACCATTTTGAAAAAGCTTGGCACACCCTGAACGACCTCCCTTGTAGGAAGAACGCTAAGAAGCGAACTGACGCAATACCCTAACAAGCTTGTGAAAGGTGACCAGAACGCTGACTTTCCAAACACAGCCTTGTGGAGAAAGGTCCGTATAACAACTGCTTTGTAGTTGGCAGTTTATTTAGTTTGTTGTAGTCAACACTTATACGACAGTGTAAGCGTAGATTACCATATAAATAGCAAGAAATAATTGTTTTTAGGCCTTATTGCTGCCATTTAGTCAAATATTAGAAGGATTAGAATTATTAGTTTCCTCTCCCCCCGCCCTGGACAAGTTCGCCTCCTCTCACCCCATTAACGAATAATTTAGTACCAATTCACCCGATTAGAACGTCCGGTAACCCCTTACAAATAGACTTTGATTGAAAAACTGGTGTGACTAGGGACCCCCTTTCTGGTATTCAGAGCGCCATTCAGGAAATATTAACCATGATTCTGTGGTGCCTCTACATCATGTAAAGACCGTTTTGAAAAAGCTTGGCACACCCTGAAAGACCTTCCTTGTAAGATCTAGGATGGCAGAGCTTCGGGCCGGTCGTAACTAACTAAATGTGTACTTCGATTGATCGTCTCTTCAGTGCACGGTCAAACTGTTTTTGCTCCTAAGAATTTTTGCAGCTGTTATTTTGAGAGCACGAGTTTGCTCCGCTTATACAAATCTTCTTTTTCAGGCGAACGGTAACGGTGCGCACAACGCAGTATTCACTGAGTCGTCCTTGCTTCATCCTCAGTTTGCAGACCAAAATTACTTATCAACTAATTCCCACTAGTGGTTTGCTCTTTGTAGCTTTGTCATTTTTGTAGGAGGTAGGCCCGAACAGATTTCTATGATTTCTTGATCTCTTCGTAAGAAATGTCAGTAAGAAAATGAATGGCTGACTGAGATATTGAAAAAACTTGTGGCTAATCCTGGAGACGTTTGTTCTATAACTGTAGTAAGTTATTATAAACTATAGAATACGAGTAGGCTTTCTTCTGTCCTCCACTTGTCAAATATTCCACTTGTCCTTAATTGTTAAATATTGTTCTAGACTGTATGCGTGAAAAGTGCTCTACTGATCCAGATTTGTAGTAAAGAGTTGAAAATAATTCCTTAATTTTTACAGAAAGAGATTTGACTGTACGGTGCTGTTCATAGCTACAGTAGGTGCATTTGATTCACTCTATTATAAGTTGAAGCTAAGCATAAGCATAAGGGATGTCGTCGGCAGCAGAAAATTGTCCTAACGACTTGACCGATCTCTTTTCTTGATTTAAAGGAAGCGATTACGATAAAGAGGGAGCGCATCGGGGAAGCATATGCACCACACGAAGCAGTTACTTGGCTGCCAGGAAGCGAAGTGTGGCGCTTTCACAACGAAAGGTGCGCTGGTTGCTGAGCAGGACTTCGAAAGCACCCCCCCCCCCAAAAGCGAAAGGTACCCTCCAGGTTTCTTGTTGATTTGGACGAGTTACTTGGCGAGAAAACGGCACAAATGTGGTATCTCAATTATCGTGATTTGGCAATGGTGCCATCAAACGCGTTGCGGTGAACTCGTTTAAACTCCACTTTCTGAGCTGATGAGTGAAAACCAACAGTCAAAAAAGGAGGTCCCGTTTTGCGCTTTCTTGGCGGATTTTTCTACTTTTTCCGCCATTGGCGGCCATTGAGCACCACCACGTCACATAGAACCCTCTTTCAACTTTTGCGTAATCGCTGCCTTTAAATAAGGCTTTCTGTTCTTCTCTGAAATCGTGAGCTTTTAGAATATACATTCGCTGAAAAATTTCTCAAAACAAATTTACTCGTATTGCCAATACATAAGCCCTAGCTAACGTCACCTAAAAACACTTTACGTCGTGCATTATACTTGCGTACACCTGCAGACTACCGTTACGGTAATTCGATGCCCTGGTTACGAAAATGACATCCACTTAGTGGTGGCGGTGCCACCTGGGCCAGTTGGCGTAACCTTGTCACGACCCTTGCGTTCACCAAACTAAGTGTAAACGTCTGCATGATTATTCGATGGCGCGCTTACGAAAAATGCGCCACTCGTTTTCACATTTAGCGCAGTCATCGCGTAATTCCAAACTGTCCATGGCGCGGTGGGGACGGCAGATGATAGGCGTTCAATGATGTTAGCGCAAAGAATGAATACAATAGCAATCAGAACACCAAACAAGCCGCTGTACGGAAGTTTACACCAAATTTGGTGAAAACTAGGAACGTGACAAGGTGAGACCAACGCTAAAAATGAATGTCATTTTCGTAATCAGGACATCTACAGCCATCCAAAGTTGCGGTAGTCCTGTAGCTGTATCCAAGTACACTGCACGAGCGGAGGTGTTTTTACGTGAATTTGGCTTAGGTTTTTTCTACCGAAAATTATTGGGGTACTCGCCTCATTCCGACCATCCTTGATAGGGAATCCTGCCTGGTGGGTCCAGAGATTTTCCGAGGCCTGCTGTCTTCTTTGGCCATTGCCTCAGCTTCTCTGGCCAATGCCCACAATTTCGAATTGTTGGAGAAAGTTCTGCAACACTCTTTCCAAAATTTTCTTTTTTTCTGAAAAATTCATAGGTAACATTTATGACTACCAAATGATAGAGCATTCTCAAGGCTTCAATCCACGAGGTGGATATAAGTTCTGCAGTCAGTAGTTATCCAAGAAAATTCAAAAAATCTCGACCACTAGCAAATCCGTACTCCGAGTCACTGTCTAGTACAAATGTCTACAAAACCATGGATTCGTGTCAACGACTGACACTATCTGCAATAGCTTCTAATGGCATGCCGTTCAGCGATACAGCGTGTTTCACCTTTACCAGCGCTTCCGATCTTTTGATATTTTTATAAGAAGCCAGCAGCATCCCTCACACTCCATTACAGGTAGGGCTCTTACAGAAGCTCCACTACATACCCTTCGTTATGGGCACCATTGTGTAGGCAGTGGCCTAGGTTGTGAAGTACCAGAAGCTGGCCGAGGTAGCTCGTCAAGAGCCCTCGTACCGCGATCAATAATCACCATGATCCGAAATGAGCCCGGTAAGAAATTCTGGAGTTGCGGCAAGATTTCTTTCCTCTCTTAGCGTAATCCCCTGGTCGAGCTGTAAATAAGTGCTACCTATCCTGGACCTTTAATCATCATCTTTATAACGAAATAATCAGACGATCAACTCCAACTCGAAAGTGAGGTCGCCTCCTTTCTCGACTCGCACTCCGCTGGGTTTTGGCAGAGGAGGATCAAGAAATTTTCTGAGCGATGGAGACAAGTGGTGGACACTCATGGTAGATATAAGACCGGTCAGAAGTTGTAACCAAAAAAGATAAAATTAAAATCAAAAATTTGAAAAAGTGTTGCAGGACTTTCTTTCCAACCTAATATTATGAAAGTATTTGTATGTATTTGACGATAGAGTATAGAGTGCGTAGATATATTATTTCCCGAGTACCTCAATCGCGGACCATCGCAGGATCTGCTAATACCGTTGTTTTAATTCGGTGGTTGTATACATTGGTGAATTAATCATTTAATTAACTACAAACTAAATCAACATACAAAATAGATGAGACAAAGAGAATCGTATCAGTATTTGCATTACCTTTGTGTCTTATTTGTCAAACGATATAGCAAGTGTCCTGGACCTCGTTGACTTGCATAGTCGCTTAACTGCAGGCGAGTCCGACTGGTACAGGTCCGTCGTGGTGTTACCGTAGAGCTTGAGTTGAGATGAGACTATCGGAGTGCGACCGTAGACGCTTGTCGAGTGCTAGAGAGAGGGAGAGACAAGACTAAGATTAGAGAGGATTGCCGTTTGTTGGAGGTAATTTCGAATAAGGTTCCCGATCCAAAATGACTGAAAGAACATGACAAGTGTTGAGCATCGACATCTTTCCCAATACAAGGCACTTTTTCTTGCGGAGTGGTCCTTGTCGAAGACGTTCCTCTTTATTCGAGAATTCATCATGGTTGCCCTCATTGGATTTCAACGTCCTCACCTGCTCATGTAGCTCATTTTGGTCGCATGGCTATCTCAGCATTGAGCGGATTGAAACTGCTTCTCATGATTCTTGCCAAGAGGCAAGCATTAGCTGCACTGAGCATTGTGGGCATTCACGACTGGTAGACATATAGAACATTCGAGCGCACCAGAACACTCGAGAAGGGTTTCCGAAAACGTAAATTTCTCGTTTATTCGGGCATTTACTTCCAGATCCATCTACCTTCAGGGGTTGAATCATACGCAGTGTCTGGAACATTCTTCGTTTTCGAGGATATACCGTGACGTCCACTGTTAATAGGAACTGAACGGGCTCAAACGATGCTCCCTTACGTACTGAACCGTGAAACCTTTCTTTTTGTCAGGGTGTGCGGTGAATTCGTCCTTATTAACAGCGATGTTTCTTCACCAGATGTTGTAACAAAATACTGTTATCTATATCTTTATTGAATTACCTTGAATGAACCCACTAATAGCCAATAGCTCGCCTGAGTAATCAGACTACATCAACAGAAAAATCAAGTTGTTCACCCTAGTTGACTGAACAAATAACAGTTAGTTGAAGACGGTCATAAATAACCAATATAACATATTTATATGTTTGGCATTCAGTAAGCAAACAATCAAGTAATAATAAATGTTCACTGATAATCTCAACTACACAATAGAACAGCAGATGACGCAAGAAGACTAGCACTGGCGATTTGATTAGAGTTGAGCATGAGCTCGAGCAATTTGAAACATAGCTCTATCACTCACATAACAATTGAACTCGAACTACCCGGTTCGGTAGATTACCCGATAAAAAATAATAGAACTCCTTTCAAAATTGTTGTACGTTTGTAGTGTAGTGAAGGTAGACAGCACTGATATCGCTAGCGATATCTAAGCATATGAACCTTTGAAATCGAGGAAGTGCCAAAATTCGGGCTGCTTTCACGCTTTGACGTAAACCCATGCATGTGAAAAACGAAAAGTCATAAGGAGAGACAAAATCAATTTTCCATGCGGCTAATCAAAACGTAGAAGCCCCCTGAAAGGAAGTCGGACGCGCTCATATGGCGATCTGAAGAGCGGCTTCTCCGGGAAAGTTATGTTAGACAATAAGTTTGAGAGTACAAATTTTCAGCTGTTTAGAAGGTAGAATTGTTATACTTCAAATTCAATTCGATTCCCTCTCGAGAAGAGAGAAAATTGTTAATCTCTTTGTTTTGTTCTAATTTATTTGGCCTTACAGAAGGACTTTTTTTCTTCTTTTTTATGCTTCTTTTAACTTCTCTATTTTTACTTTTGTTCTATCTTTATTTCTTTTGTCCACTTCTTACTTATACACACTTACAGCTTTGTTGGAAGAAATCTCAACGAAAGACCAACACATTTCAACACATTACGAGAGACGAAGAGTGGTTTCTTGCTATGCACTTCTGATTCATCGATTGCTGAGAAGAGGAGGAAAAGATCATGCTTTCCCAAAAATGTCATGCTTTGCCTCGAACTGCTTCACCTCTTGGTAGATCAGCTCTGAAAAAAGAATATTTTGAACCAAGCCTAATTTAAAACGTGGATATAATATGGAAGGGGTTGTCTGGGAATTCTGTGTCAATTTTGGTAGCTCCAATAAATGCTTTACTTTTGAATTGCCTTAAAAAACTGCTGCCACTTGGGTGCTGCATTTCCTTCTGGACCACAGCAATACAAACAAAAATTTCATAAGCACTGTAAACGCGTAAGATGCCCAATAATGCCCAATAACGACTTTCGAACGAAATAATCTTGACTAGGCAGGGTGGAGCATTTTTAAAGAACTTGCCAAAGAAGTTCGCGAAAGCGGCTTTACGATATTCGAGTATGGCATCCCTCGAAATTCATTGGTATTGAAAGGAGTCAGTCAATACCGACTGAAACACCAGCCAGCCCGTGAAAATCTTTCAAAAATTATGTGAACCGCTAACTTGGTGTGTCGATTCGTACGCTCTCAGGACTTCTGTCAACCGTGATGCTTGGCGTTCAGCGTTTTGTAGTGATGTCTGGAGCTCTCACAAGTGCACACTATCACAGCATCTCCTCTTTCTTTATCTTCTTCAAAAGGCTTAGTCCCAATAAGACACAAAGTGTGTGCTTTTCCAGCTACGCTCTCACGTTTTGGTTGACAGAAGCCTTGTAACCGATTTGTACGTGTGTCTGCCTGTGCGTCCGCAAAATGAAGTGAGTGATAAGGCAGCTACCGGGATGAATAAGCCGCAAACAACCTGAGTACCTCGCAGGTGTTTTGTGATGGCATGATTATGATACCATCCCTGCGGCTATATGAATACTTGCTTAGCGCATTGTCGGTGATTCCTCATTATACTGCAGTGGCGAGAGCACTGTAGGTAGGAGGGATTGGAGGTGGGGTTGGAGGTAGGGGATTGTAGGTTCGGGTGCTTGCCGGTGGACCAATCTGGTGCTCCAAAGAGCACTAATGTACTCGATGGTGGCTACGATACCAAGTGGAAAAAAATAAGTGGCGCATCGTAAGGGGATTGAAGGTGAGCAGGAGCTTTGATGCGTACGTGCGAAGTGCCTATTTTGCTGGCTATTTCCACAACGATTCGTTATCGACTCCAATGATCATTTCAACCTACAGCAATGTAAGAAACCAACGATACCATTGTCTAGATCTCGGCACATCAAAACCGTTTTCTACAAGCTCAGGTGTACCAATCCTTTCGATGGATAGGATGAAGCTATTCACGAAAGTCTCATGTAGGCCGTTCTTTTGTTGTGCCGTCTTTGAGCTCGAAAGTTTGCGGCAATACCACTAGCACCTTGCGCTGACTACCTTCTCCGTTTACGGTGTTTCACATATAGACAGTGCGGGCATCTTCGTCCTCTTGTCCATTATGCTCTCTCCCTACCCCCTTCCCCTACCCCAGGAGTCTCTTCCTCTCATGATTCGTACACACCGAGTAACAAGAAAAGAGAAGCCCCAATGTTGTGATTTCAACAAATTCATTTCGTTTTTCCTTCACTGCCTGTCCAGTTCTCATGATTACACTCATTTACGTATGCAATGGTCGCACCAATTCAGCATTTGCCTTCAAGGAAAACGTTTTACACTGGAGTGCAAAACTTGAGGACGATTCTGAATTTTCTGTGACGTATTACTGCTGAGTAAAACAGCTCTATAGAACCTCACCACACATATAAGGAACTGTTCCAGAACTTTACAAAAAGCAAATAACAGGAACCACTAAAAGGTCCACAAAGCTATAAATAAGTTAGGTTACTTCATCTATCTTGTCCTTAGATTTTGCACACCAGTGTATTTAGATCAAACCAGCTGGGGTCAATGCCACTCTACCGCAGGATCCAGAGGAAAATAGTAGTGTATCAATGTATGGGCAACAAGGACCAAAGGAATTGAACCCGTCCGGTTTTTTTTCTGGAGATGCACACTGCGCTCGCCATGTACCTCAGAATGGCAATGGCAGTCAAATTTGTAGTGGCAGGGAGGGGGTAGGGAGTGAGGCTTGAAAAAAAAAAGCCTTTTTGATCATGCGGTACATCAGTGGACCTTTCGTCGCACAGGGTTACACTGTTAATAAAAGAAAAAAGTAAAAGAAAAAGAAAAAGTAAAAAAGTAAAATAAAGTTATATTCCTAAAATGCCCCCATAAGCAGAAGCAAACCCCTATTCGCTTTCTTCAGAATGTAAAGTAATTCGTCATGGCCGTCTAGCTCAAGGAGGCCTACCGTGAATTGCTCCAAGCCTGCTGCTTACCTAATCTCATCAATCGATTCACTGATCGACAGCTTCATAGAGACGGTAGCTCTAACTAAGGAGACATGGTGGTCAGCACCTCCGAAAACATCGTGGTGATCCATGATTCAGTGTTCCCACATTCCCAACTATACCGTTGAATCCTCGCGAACATGAACCTGGTTGGTCGCTCTCGGTTTAGTGAGCTACCTACGCGAGATGGAAAGAAAAGACTTTAGAGGGTATGTGGTTTGTGCAATATTTGAGGCAATGGTGGGACGTTAAGGGGACGTGGGTGGGGATGCACACTGAAGGACAGAAGCTATAACCTAGTTTGAAACTGTGGATATCGGAATTTCGGATACTTGAGCAACCCCTCAAAACCATAAATACGACATTACAAATTACTGTGCCGCTTTATTAGTAGCTTTGCCGTACCTTTCCATTCAGTAGCGTCCTGTCAGCACAGTCAATTTCTTCGTTATAGCGATTTTCAGACTGGGGCGCATTCACTTCTTCATCCTGGAATAGGACACATTACGAAAAGGTCTATAGTGAGGTCAATAAGCCAATTCTTTCATTTTCATCGCTCAGAAATAAACTCACCCGGAACCACACTTTCACATAGGGATGGTTCAACGACTGTTCCACAGAGTATCGATTGTCAGGATTAATCACAAGCATTTTTGCTAGCAAATCTCGGCCCCATTCCGCTAAAGAGAGAAGAAATTAGCAGTAATTCTATGAAAAAAAGGGGCAACCAACCTGTCAGATTTGCTTTGACGTTCTCAGTTTCTTTGAGGAAGTTTGAGTCTGGAACGATCTGTTCGATGGGTTTGCCCACTTGTGGTGGAGAGATCTTACGTACCTGAAATTTCTTTCTTAATACACCTTTAAAGAGCAGTAAGATAACAATTCCGCCATCAGCCCCCCCGCTAAAGGCAGAGAAGTCAAATGTTATTTCTAATTCTCAGTCAAGGCCTGCAAACTTGCTATGAACGAAAGCGCCGCTGATTGATTATTTGTTGATGCGTTTATATATTAAAGCTGTGAGTCGGGATTAGGTGCCAAGAGGTGCTCCCACTAGAGTGAGAAAAGAGGGTCGGTAAACCCACAAACCCAGGAGATGCGACACTCGAAGGTGCGTGGGAAAGTGAGATAACGGCGCTAAGGCCTTGTTTTGCGTACTGCTCTGCTGCCATCGTTATCAATCGCGGCATACGTAACGTCTACGCCCTCTCTGAACAACGTGCTCTCGAGCGTTTTCCCACTTCTCGTAGCGTGGTGTCCCTCGAACAAACACGGCCGACGTCACAAAGGGAATTTACGTGTTTCCTATGAAGATTTTTGCTTTTGAGGTTCCTCATTGGACTTCTTGTCTGATTTTCGAACAAATAACACACCAATTTGATCCCAAATCGTGCTGAATGACCTCGCTTCAAGGCAAAAACGCACGTAGACAGAGGTAGCTACACTTGGGTGGGCTAGCCCAGCTGAGGCTATTCGGTGATTGAAGTCCTCATGGGGCCGACTTTTTCTATAAACATTGTGGGGGCGCGAAGAAAGTAGAGAATAGGGTGAATTCAGGGCGTGAACTGCCGACAGCTTGGCCAAAACCATCGCCTCTACGACATTCAAGAATTAATCTCTTCTGACATATTTTTCAATAATTTCCCATACACCAAGTGTGTGAGCGTCCCACTTGGCAGTAAAAATCCTCCAATTCCTTCAGAATGCACGGCGTGCGGGAGTAATGGGTCCACTTTGTGGATATGTTGTTTCTTTTCGTTTTGTTCGAATTTTTTTTTTCGGCAGGGTTTTACCCTACGATCTATACCCTGGCCCAATTATTTTGCAGTCCTTTTTATGATACGCACTAGCCCCCGAATGGATCAACAAGCAGAATGAAATTGCCTGAATTCCACAGTCGTATAGTTGAAGATGTAAATCACAGCGGCTCGTGAATTTAGCACAGAGATAAATTGATGACTCAAAACATTTCGAGCAATAAAGAGACCACCCACATAGCGGCACTGTCGCCAAGCTGCTTCACAAAATCCTCGCCTGGCGTGCCCATTTCATTAATAATTTTTGACCACTGGTCGACCCTGGAATCGAAAAGAATAAGATTTACAATATCGAACATGTACCTGAGCAATTCGCAAAGTGCCTACCTGTCCAGTCCTGGGAATAAAACTTTGTGGTTGATCATCTCAGCGAATATGCATCCAACAGACCAAATATCCACTGAAAAAGCTATCATACCAATATATAAACCAGAGCTTTGTTTATTTGTCCGCTCCTCACAAATTAGCAAGTGTCCCCCACATGTTTCCAATTTTTACTTCAAAAACCACCTCAGATTTGGAATGGGTGGAGCATGAGCAAGCTGGGCACAGATTTTGAAATATTTGCTACCGCCTCCTTCCAACACCTAATATAGTACTTGATTCTGAGACTACTCGACAGACTTCGCTTTACTTTTCTTCCCTGCAAAGAGGCGTGAGAGAGGAG